TGGATCTCGTAAATCGTCTTGGAGTGGCTGCATGAAGGCTGCGAAATGGATTTGTTAGCAGATTTTCTCCATTTTGGCACTAGTGTTTTTTTTGTTGCACGTAGGTTTAGAGCAGTGGGAAGTGTGGGGCGTAAAGAGTGCAGTGTGAAGTGTGAAGTGTGAAGAAAGCAGTGGGAAGTGAAAAGTGTGAAGTGTGGAGTGTGAAGTGTGGAGTGTGAAGTTTCAGTTTGGAGTGCGAAGAGCGCAGTGTGAAGTGTGAAGTGTGAAGTGTGAGGTTTGGAGTGTGAAGGAAGCAGTGAGAAGTGAGAAGTGTGGAGTGTGAAGTGTGAAGTGTGGAGTGTGAAGTGTGAAGTGTGGAGTGCGAAGAGTGCAGTGTGCAGTGTGAGGTGTGGAGTGTCGAGGGAAGGACACGGTCGGGACAGGTTGTCTTTGAACTATAGGTCATTTATTTTTGGGAAACTTCCGCCGCCGGCTTGCCCGGGTCTATGTTATCTTTATTATTATTATTCTTACTATTATTATTATATGTATTATTATATATATAATATAATATATATATATATTTATACAATATGTATGTATGTATATATATATAATTATATACTGTAATATTATATTATATGTACATAAAACTAAGCTTACGATAGTTTATCTCATAAACTACAAGTATCACAAACTTCGTAGTTTCAGCAGGAAGTCTCCAAACAGAATCTTGGCCCGCTCCTTGGTTCTAGTCCGATAGTTGAGGATCTCTGCCTCGACTGGAGGTGGCCGTTGGTGGAACATGTGGGCTGGGATGTTTTGGGTACATCTGCTGGTTGCGTGATGCTTAAGCATGCTTAAGTTATGATCCTGCAACTGTTGGTGGTTTGAGTCTGGTTTAAATATGCTATAAATATGCTATAAATATGTATAAATCCCAATGTTTACTGCTTACATCCACTAAATCATCCCAATGTTCAAGCTGTGCCAAGTTGCCTGCATCTGTGCATTGGAATCCTTCAGTTGCTTCACCTGCTGGATCTCAGCCCATGGAGAATCACACTTGAATACAGTAACCCGGGAGAGCCCAGGAGATCCCAGGAGTGATTTTCACCGGTCCCATGAGAAACTTGAGAAAATCAAAAATTGGAAGTCCCAACTGCAGAATTTCAACAAATCTGTTCCTTTCAGGATATTTCCATGGCTTCGGCAAACATTCAGAGACCCGCAAAAGATCACACAAACATTTTGCTGTTCCCCCGATTTCAAACAATCTCTTGAAGACACAAACACACCCAACTGACAAGTGCACAGCGCCTCCTCGTCTCTCTGAACGCTCTTGCGCGCCAAGTTGCGACGTCGAACCTCCAGCTGCTGAATGCCTGGGAAGGGTCCGCTGAAATGGCCGAGGGATGCCGAGGCCAGGGTCCGTATCATCCCTTTGCTCTAAGGCAAAGCCCGTGAGGAGTGGATCCGCATCACCATTTGGCGGTTCTTGAGTGGCAATTTCTGTCCTGATGGAGGATGTTGGACAGCAATTTTTATCCGTCAAACCAAAACACGAAAGTAACAATAGCTTGCATGGTTTAGCAGGCACTTGACCAACCTGTGCAAATCCATGGGCTGCAGGTTTTGAACTGTACTTTCCAACAATCTTAAATTGTGGATATATCATACTACAAAAGAACTGTCATCCCAGGTTCAAAAAAAAAATGGCCAAGGCAATGACGATTCTGCAGTTTGTTCAGCTTTGCTTCTGCCTGGCAGCTTGGCCAGCGTTCATCTATTGCATCAAGTGTGTCAGTGCGACAGACCCATTGCAATCAGAATGCAATTACACGGGATTTTGGAACATAGTTTAAACGTCATGTGATGCATGATCCAGTGTTTGTTGGAAACTCTCAGGTGCAATTACGATGTAATTTTAACTTGCCTATAAAAACAACAACTTGTTGACACGCCAAGAACCAACCGCCTTGCAGCTGTGTCTTTCCAACCCGAAAACTTAATGAAAAAGAAACATGCGCGACAGCTGACCAGCTTTGATACTACACCAATGGTTTTGTTGAAAGGAGGGGTGAAAACACCAGCAGCAGCAGCAACAACAACAACAACAACACCAACACCAACACCAACACCACCACCAACACCACCACCACCACCACCAACAACAACAACAACAACAACCACAACCAACAACCAACAACCAACAACCAACAACCAACAACCAACAACCAACAACCAACAACCAACAACCAACAACCAACAACCAACAACAACAACGACAACAACAACGACAACAACAACAAATCCAACAACAAATCCAACAACAAATCCAACAACAAATCCAACAACAAATCCAACAACAACAACAACAACAGCAACAGCAACAGCAACCAACAACCAACAACCAACAACCAACAACCAACAACCAACAACCAACAACCAACAACCAACAACCAACAACAACCAACAACCAACAACAACAACAACAACCAACCACCAACAACCAACCACCAACAACCAACCACCAACAACCAACAACCAACAACAACAACAACAACAACAACAACAACAACCACAACCACAACCACAACCACAACCAACAACAACCAACAACAACCAACAACCAACAACCAACAACCAACAACCAACAACAACAACAACGCACACTGCACCTCTCTCCCATGTTGATGCAGCATCCATCCTTGTCCGTGTTGGTGATGCCCTGCCTCCCAGAGTTTTTTTCTGCCCAGGGCATCTTCTGTACTCTGCTCCCTGCGCAGCCTCCAATTCTTTTCCTGCCGAGTTGGGTGCGGTCCGCTGGAACTGGCGTGCTGCAAGTTCTTTCCCTTGGAAGCTATAAAATACATGGCAAGTCTAGATCCCAACTCCAGAAAATGGGTGTTTTTATGTGGTCCCTTTGGCATTTGATAAATATTCCGTTGCATAGGTGCATATGCCTACAAACATGTCTTATCAGTCTTATCAAATATGTTGATAGAATATCTGTTGGAGGACCAGAGGTGTCCAGTGGATGTTCTTCATCCCATGTATATCATGTATATAACGGTCCCCCAGCCATCCCCAACCCCCCCTACAAGTATAGTATGGTTCATTATGATCAGAGGGTGGAGCTCGTCTGCATTCATATCTGATACATGATCAATTCTTGTCGGTTACACCTAGCCGATGAACAATCCCGCTTAAAGGCTTAAATCCATGGTATATCTTTGGATATAAAGTAAAGTCGGGGGTCATACACTTCTACCAGGTTTAATCAACCTCATGGGACCCGATGTTTTTTGTGCTGATTGACCCTTCCCATTTTGAAGTGGACATAGCTAGAGCATCCGTTGAGCCCTCCTGACCCCCGACATCCTCCGCACTTCGCGCACGGTTCGCGAGGTCAAAGAGCTCTTGCTCAGCAGCACGCCGAACCTGTGGGCATTGCTGGTGGCGTTTCCTAAAGTCACTTGATTCAATGCACGGGTGTGTTTCAGGGAAAACCAACAAAAATCTTCAAGAAACCATCCTTTTTGCCCAAATTCTACGAGGATCCTGCAGATTTTCCCTTAGCGAATCTTTACCTTCAAGGATTGATGGTCTTCTGGAATGCCATGTTCCCTACGATTCCACTGAAAAAAACGGCCTCCACCAGCGCTTGGATGAATGTAATCGGTTATTTTTCATGGCAAGCTATATCTTCAGCATTCTCCAGCAGCATCCCCATGGTTGCTGGGTGAACTTGTCATCATTAATAGTCAATAGTCATTTCGATGACCAGCCGCTTGTAATCGGCTAATCTCTATATTTGCAAATGGCTCCTATATGCCCCGCGTCAATATCAATCCATTGTCTACATATACCCCACTTGCCTGCCTCGTTCTTGCTGTGCAAAATATCTTTGGTGTAAATTGCCCCCCCCTTTTTGACGACATAATGGCGCTGGCATCTTTCGGATACATTGGTTTTGACACACCCGATGTGTTTGACCCCCACTCCTACACACAACTAAATGATCAAATCTTCATCATATGTGTGTGCGTGTGTATAATTAAGTATATATGCATGATACTGATATATTGATGGTGATATATTGATATAGAGCTGGTCATTTGCACCTAGTTATTGGAATTACTACTACTACTACTACTACTACTGCTACTACTACTACTACTACTACTACTACTACTACTACTACTATTACTACTACTACTGCTGCTGCTGCTACTACTACTACTACTGTTAATGTGGTCATTACATGTCACTACTATAGTGATCATTACTATTATGATGATCAATTATGTATATGTATGTTAAGATCCATCATATGTGGTCAAACAGTTGTTTCTATACCACATTCTTTGACCCCTCATCTGTGATTGCTAGCAATATGACTATGATCACTGTTACTATCACTATTATTACTATTATATGAAGGCCCATATATATATGTATATATAAAGGTTTCGGCTGACAGAAGGGTGCCCTCTCGACTGTTCAGTTCCGTGACCCTAGCGATCCTTTCGCGGTGTTGGTGGGCAGTGGATCGCGGGCGCTGTGGATTCTTCGCAGCGGCCTATTTGCTCATCTACCTGGACAAGTCCGTGTTCTTCCTCTTCAACATTTGGGACTTTGTCATCTTCCCTAAGGTTTTCTCCTTGGGACGGGTTCATCTGGTGCACTGCCTAAAACCAGATCAAAGCATTATTTGGCATCTATAACATTGGATTGATCTCTGCAAGCACGGGGCTTGCACACTGATCTCTGGTGGTATTTGCTTCAATTTATGCTTCTTTTGATTTTTCTGGCGCTTGTTCATTTGACTTTCGCCCAGAATTACAGCTGCTCTTCGGCGGCGTCAACGCCGACTGCGGGCGAAAGCCCGCTTGGATTGGCATTTGCACCGCCGTGGCTTTCGTCGGCTTACGGTGGACAAGATCAAGCAGCTGATTGCTACCCTACGAGGACATCATTCACGGGATCCAGGTCTTATTGCCCGTCTACGTGCAGAGATGGACAAGCCGGACCCTTGGAGATGCAGATTTTGTATGCGCCTGGTCAAGGGCAGATCGGGACAATGTGGAGGTTGCTGGAGATACTGGTCACAATGCAACGACTCGAGCTATGTGCATCAGCAGCCACGGCAATCCCAACATCAACATGGAGGTGCATACACAGCAGGCTGGCAAGAATGGAACGACCATCAATGGCAAGAGGCAGGTCCGTGGGCTTCCGGAAGAGCCAAGTCCCCACGGAAACGCACTCAAAGCCCAAGGCAACGTGTGCAAAAGCAGTTGCAACAAAGTTCCAAGGGAGATGTGAGCAAAGGAAAAGGCAAGGGTTCCAACAAGGGCTTTGCTGGTCCCCCTTCCACCCAATGGCTTACACCGCCCTCATTGCCAGCTTCTATGGTGCCTTCATCGACGGAGGCTTCCTCAGTGAATGCCCCAACAGCATCAATGCCCTCAATGCAGCCTTTCCCCAAGCCTGCGATCAGCAAGGACGAGCAGGAACTGCATTCGCTGCGGCACATGTACAAGGAAATCAAAAGCAAGTCCAATTTGCCGGAGGACATCAAGAAGGTGGTCCTTGCGACAGAAGCGACAGTCCGAAAGGTAGACGCCAAGACCCACAGCCAGTTGGTGTCGCAGTTGAACAACATGCGAAAGAAGCTCTCAGAGATCGACGAACAATGGGAATCTTATCGACAGCAGTGGGCAGATTACCTCGACAAAGCCACTCAAATGTGGATGTCACATGTGGAGGAGTTCGAGCAAGGAGAGGCCCGGTTTGCAGAAAGGCGTGGAGAAGCGCTTCGCAATCTTCAAACCACAAGGGAAGCTCTCCACGACGCTCATCAGAGGACGATGGGACAAGATGTCCTCGCATCGAACGACATAGATTCAGCTCAGGAAGCTTTGGATGCTACTATGACTGTGGGCGAGAACGACTCCACAGGGATGCAGACAAGCTTTGCCCAGATCAAAGAGAACCTCAATGGTGTGGTGCAGCAGGTTCGCAACACTATCGAGGAGAAGATCAAGAAGCGAGAGCGCTCAAGATCACGTGGACATCAGGGCGATGGCAGTGGAGATCCTCCAGATGTCGAAGTTGTGGAACCCGCCGACAAAAAGGTTCGGGATTCCAATTAGCCCCATGTCTCCCAGCGTCGCTTGGCGAGGTCTTTCCAGAGTGTGTTACATCTGGGAGAAGAGACACGGGGCGGAAGAAAGACAGGTTTTGCAAAGTGTCCTTTTGGCCCATCATTGACTTTGAGGGAGTTGTCACTGCTGAGTCCTGTTCCCTTTGCAATTTCTGGTCGGAATCTGATGATTTTCATCGTGATCGTCAGAGACATCCTTTTCCTTATTGCCATTCAGTTTTGGAAGAACCTGATTTTCACAGTGTTTGGGAAGCGCGAGATTCAGCACTCCTATTACAAGAATCGCTGCAATCGACAGCCTTTGATGTCCAATTCGACACTACGCGAAAGACTTGGACAATGGACACCTCAGCGGCAGTCCTTGGAATGACTGACGGAGCAATTCCACCAGTCATGCAATCAAGAATCAATGATGCTTGGCATGATGTTCCATCGAGCTGGCCGACATCAGATGGACCACCTCATGGACAAGATCCAAATGAAAATCCATTCTTCTTGCTCCAAGACCTCTACAATGAGTTTCTCAACAATGGCCTAGTGGATGGGCCCAGCCTTGCAGATGCCATACATTTGCGATCCTGGTATATTCACCATGTGCATCATAGTCAATGTCTAACTTCAAGGATTCTTGAACTGGACGGTCATTGGAGCACTTGGGCGAGAGACTTGGCTGCCGGTTGGGCAGATCTTGTCAGACCGGATGAAGGCCTCGCTTTCTTCGTTTGTCATCCTGATCCTCCACGCGCCAACGGTCATTATGAGCTTTATTTTGATCTGATTTTGGTACAGGGCATGGATTTCCCAGCTTGGGCTGGTTTGATCACTGTTCTTCGGGCAGAGGACCACATGGACAGGGCTGATTTTGCACTTGCAGCCTCTTTGCCCAGATATGTCAGTGGACAACACCTTGCTGCCCAAGCCAATCAGATTCAACAATGCCATTTGCGCGGTTGCAGGATTAGCTATGGACGCCAATTGATTCCCTTCAACTTTGACCCGGTCCATGAGATGACCAATGGAGACTTTTTTCTCATCAAGCCCGAGCGGAGCCGCCCAATTGGGTCTATGCAAAATGACGGACAGCAGGCAGACAATCAATTGGATTATGAGGATGAAGCACAAGAACATGACCTTCAACATGACAGAGCTTCAGACAGCAGGTCCCAGTCTTCTGCTGGCACCTGGTCTCAAGCGGTGCACATATATCGTCTTGGTCATCTTGCGATTTTTGGTCACCTCGACTGGAGCTCCTACCACACTGCCCTACGTGATGTGGTGCAGATTTCACGCATTCCCAGAAATTCCTGCGTTGGTTTTCATTATGTGCAAGTGCGGCTGCCCGGTCATCAAGATGGGGAAGAAGCCATTATATTGCAACACATTGATGACATAGCGACAGGATCCCTGGAAAAGCTGGTGATCATTGACATTGTCTTTCACACCAACACCTTGTCGCGTGGAGTCCCTGACAGAGCCAACACCGTTAGGGAAGTCTACAAAGTGCAGCATCTCATGGCTCGCAGTCACCTTTTGGCGTTGACGCATGTGGATGCTTATTGCACTTGGAGACAGGACCAATGCATAGTTCGTTTCAATGATCAACTTTGGGCACCGGGTGATCCTCGACTGTTGCCAATTGATCATGGAGCCTTTTTTCAGATTCAACTGCCACCGCCCCCAAATCCGGATTGGGATATCGGCTTGGCTGTCAGAACGATCCAGGAAACTGGCGACATCCTTGACTTCCCGGAAGCTGGTCAGCTTGCCACAGCCATCTTGGAGGGGAGTATTGATGGCAACCGTAGAGCTTTTGGAGAAGGTTCTGTTGATGGAGCACGACTTGTCACTTGCAAGTGCAATGAGGATGATGCAGATATTCCTGAGGACATCGACATTCCCATGATGCTCCCACCAGGAACGAGCCTGCGTGGGCCTCGACCATCTCATGATGGTGCTTTTGACTGGCTTGAAGATTTGGTTGCAGTTTTTCGACAGGAGGCAGAAGCGGAAACGATTGAAGGAAGTCCTCTTCTTTATGTGCAAACATGGTACATCCACCACCGTCGACACAAACGCTGCCAATATCCTCGCTCAGTGAGATTGGATGGCGCTATCATTGGATGGATTGAAGAGTTGCGACATGCTTGGAGTGATGTCATGGACAGAGGCTTGCCTTTCGCTATTCATGTCGTCAAGCCGAGGCCACCTCAACCAAGATGGCAATCATTTGCATGCCATATCATCCTGGTACAAGCTCCACAACCTCATTGGGTTGCGGGAGTTGTTACTACACTTCTGGAAGGTCCTGATCGTGATGCCATCATGCAAGCGGCTGCTTCTTTCCCTGACTTAGTGAACAAGCCTGCTGTCATTGAAGCAGTGCAGCTGCAACCACAATGCGATCTCCGTAGATGCTCGGTGACAGCTGGTGGGCTGCCTGTTCATCTGATCTTGCAATCAGAGCTTCACAATGGTTTCAACGTTTGCATCAGAGTGGCCTCTGCTTTGGGGCTGGAGCAGCGACCACTACAACCCGGGTCTGCACCAGATCATATTGACCACTTTGATGATGTTGTCTTTATGCAAAGAAGCCGGAGCACTCCAGTGATTGCGAGCTCTTCGATTGCACCAGGGACCAATTGCCCGGAGCCCTTTGTTTTCAACCCGAATGCCCATGTATTTGTTCCGGGCCAAATCCCGATTGAAGGAATGGATGAATTTACACAAGACCTACACCGGATATGGCTTGAAGAGTCATTCAGCTGGGAAGGTGAAACACCAACTTGTCTTTTCACCACGTGGATGGTAGATCACTCTGGAGCTTTTCGTCACTGCACAAGACCAAGAGACATTCGCCTTGGTCCGGATTTTGCAGCTTGGGAAACCCAGATCAGGCGAGTTTGGGCGGATGAACTTGTGGGAAATCCTTCGCTTGAATATCACATTGTCAGCCCCACTCCACCCAGACTGGAGCGTCAGGCGGTTGGTCACATCATTGTTATTCAGCATGCAGATGAAGCGCTTGTCACGAGCCTGGTCTCAATCATTGACAGGACGTTGCGTGGGCAAAATGGAAGAGTTCAACGTATGGCAATTACCACTCCGGAGCACATCCTTCTTGACACCCTTTTGGATGTGACGGGATTATGCACAGGCATGCATCCCTGACAACTCTCCCAGAGTCTGCAGAGCTTGGTATTTTGATGAAAGACTTCGACTGCATCGCCCACTACCGGGTCGCAGTGGATATAGCATCACCCTCAACATCCACTTGCGGACCAGGCCAGGCCCAGAGGCTACCAATCTCCTGCAAGTTTCTGCAGTTACTTCATCAGGGCCCGCTGATGCCATTGAGGGTGAGCGCCTAACGCAGGGGCAGGTGGCTCACACCCCTGGGCCACCCCAGGTCCTGCAACTGGAGTCACTTCTCTACGCAGAAGGACATCCTGCTGCACATCCTTTGAGACTGATCAGAGGCCACGATGACATCCCCCCTTTGCCGACCTTCATTGAAGTTGGCAGGCCAATTACGCCAGAATCGGTTCAACAGGAACTGCAATGCTATGGCCATGACTGTGCAATTGAGCTTCTTGGAGAGGGATCTTTGGCCATGTGTTTTCCCAGGTCTTTGGCAAGAACTCATGTGGAACACTCACACTTTGTCTTCATTGAAATGCAAGATTTTGCGCCTTCGATTGATCCCGTCTTCCATCTGCATTCAGACTCCTCTCTGAAGAAGGATGACCACATTGGTATGATGCGTTTTCTTTACCAGATGGGGCATGAGAAGGCTGTAATTCTTGCAACGATTCCGCATTGCCACAACTTGACTGAAGTGCAGTTTACAGTCTCGGTTGGCACCATGGAAACCAAAGCGCAGTTGCCACAACGCCCTTCTTCTTGGCCATCTCGACAACCAACTGGTTTAGCTGGTAAGATGTATGATCCTCCAGCGGCACAAGAGAGTCCGGAGTGTCTCTTGGATTTGGGAGCGACCAGCGAGCAATTGCTTTCATTTTTTGAGCACTCCAACTTTTCTGATCTTTGCACAATCACAAAGGCATGGACTTACCAGCCACAACGGCGGAAGCCATCACCTTGTTACAACCGTTGGAGCATTATGACCGGCTCATCATCTATACTGATGGCTCCTCACATTCAGCCCATTTGCGTTTAGCACCAGAGCTTGTGGAAGAGCACCACATCCCAGATGCCTGGTCTTTCGTGGTGCTAGGTGAACAGTATGAGGAGTCCGGCAATCGTCTTGCCCTTATTGGATGGTGTGCGCATCAGGTGAGATGTTCCATTGATAGCCCTTGGCATCTTGGTTCACGGTCTGTAGGTTCATGGGTGGCTGAACGCGAAGCGTTGCTATGGGCCTTTCTTTGGAGGATCGGCTTGAATAGCCGCATTCCGACAACGTTCAGGTCGGACTCTGCAATGACGATTGGGCAGTCACGTGGCACGCTGGGAGCTCAACAACATGATGAAACATTCGAATTGCTCAGAGGATGTCATCAACTATTGGAAGCGGCACTTCCTGCAGATTGTCTGCGGGTTGAACATGTCTTTGGACACAACGCAGACCCATGGAATGACTTTGCAGATCACTTGGCCAAAAGTGAAGCCAAGGCTGGTTTCATGCTTCCACGAGGAGATCTCGATGTTCAATTCTGGCGTCCTTTGCTGCCTTATTTGTGGATGCTTTTTGGGTATCAGTATGGCATGCCTGAACATTGTGACCGGGGCCTGATCATTCCGGCACCGTCATTACCAGCTCAGCATGTGCCCAGTCACAATCCACAGCAGGAGGCAATTGTTGACATCCATTTGACTCTCAGCTTCGCGACTGCCAATGTCTTGTCTCTCTCCACTCGCCCTGATGGACATGCGGGCAAAGTGAACTATCTTCGAGAGCAATTCACTTGCCAAGGCCTCAATTTCCTTGGTTTGCAAGAGACGAGAAGTGCTGCGGGGGCTTCGCTGGTACACCATGTTTACCGACTTTGCTCAGGAAGCAACAAAGGCCATCATGGGGTTGAATTGTGGTGCAACCTGAAGCAGCCGTATGGATACATTCAAGGTAGACCTCAATACCTACACAAAAGTGACTTTGCCGTTGTCTACAATGATGACACTAGGCTGATCACGAAGATTGATGCGAGCCTACATCAATTTTGGGTCATGGTTTTTCATGCACCGCAAAGTGGACAACCTCAACGTCTACGAGAACAATGGTGGGAAGCGACACATCAACTTCTTGTGGATCATCAAGTACAAACTGATCAACTTTATGTTTGTGCTGACGCAAATGCAGCACCTGGTCCTGGTGATGGACGTCATGTTTTTGAGGAGACCTTCTCTACATCGACATCCACTCCTTTGCTGCAGACTTTTTTGTCCACATTTGATTTGTGCCTTCCCTCTACGAGTGAGATCCACTGTGGTCCAAGACACACTTGGGTCCGACCGGATGGTTCGACCTCGCATCTCATTGACTATGTCATGGTGCCAGCTGCACAATTTCAGGCTTGTTCACATTCGCAGCTTCTGGAAAACTTTGACTTGGCCAACCTGAATACAGATCACACTGCGACAGGTGTTGAACTTTCATGGTGGACCACAGTGCAGAAATGTGACGCCTCTCACGATGATGGTGGCCTGCGCTATGACAGAAACAAAATCAAAGATGGCAATCTCAACCAGATGCTGAGCAACTATCGTGTCGCGTCCTGGTCAACTGATGTGGAGACACAGACTCATGACCTGACCAAGCATATTCATGCCACACTTCAAACAGGATGCCGACGTGATCCTTCTCAGCCCAAAAAGGAATATGTTAGCTCTTTTGCGTGGGAGCTGCGACGGCAGAAGCTTTTCCATCGTAAGCAGCTGAAGACAGTGAAAGCTCTTTTGGCACGTGAAACCATTGCCCGGATCTTCTATGCATGGAAAGGAGAGAAGGGAGACCTTTGTCAGTCCTCCTTTGACTATGGCTCGACATTGAGATGCGGGCTCTTCAAACACTATGCAGGCTTTCGCATGACTTCATGGGGTTTGAAGAAGCATCTGGAAAGAGACAAGGCCTTCAAGATTTCTGAAGTTGTAGCCTCTTTCGATGCAACTACGGCAGCCTCTGAGATCCAGCACAAGATGAAGGGCTTCATTGGCAGCACAAACAAGCTACGACAAGGATTAGCACCTTTGCCAGCGGTGCGCTCCCAGAATGGTGCTCCATGCGCGTCTGCCCCTGCAGTACTGAATCGATGGATTCAATTCTTTGCTGACATGGAGGGAGGCACACGTGTGACACAGAAGGAATTGCATGATGCCTGGGTGCAGTCTTTGGAGGACATGAGCATGTCGACATGCCAAATCACGATTGCAGATATCCCCAGCCTATGCCAACTGGAGGCTGCGTGTAGAAGAGTCAAGGCTGGCAAGGCAGATGGACCAGATCGAATCCCGTCAGAAGTGTGCAAATTCTACCCCAAGGAGGCCGCCAAGTTGCTGTATGGACTCTTGCTGAAGCTGGTCACCCATGGCCATGAACCGCTGATCCACAAAGGGGGCACCGTTGTGCCCATATGGAAGGGGAAGTTGGCCAAGGGCACTTGTGAGGCATTTCGCTCAATCCTCCTTTCATCCAATCTTGGCAAAGTGATCCATAGGACACTTAGGGTCCATCAGCGCAGCATGTATGAATCCTTCCTTCATGCCCAACAACTTGGGGGACGTCAAAAAGTCCCTGTCACCTTGGGAGCCCACCAGACAAGAGCCTTTCTTCGTTGGCAACGGGCGCAAGGACACTCTACTGCGATTCTGTTTGTGGACCTACAGGAAGCATTCTATCGAGTCCTCAGACAGCTGGCTATGCCTGGGGATTTCACGGACCTTGAGCTGGCACAGCTTGCTTCGAGATTGGGTTTGGAATCTGATGTTCTACATGACTTGTGGGCGTTTTTGCAAGAACCACATGCTCTTGAGCGCGCAAGTCTCCCGGTCTCGGCTCAGCGGGCTATCCAAGCGCTCCACTCCAACACCCACTTTCAGCTGCCCAACCAGAAGGATTTTGTGTCCACATCAATGGTTACCAGGCCCGGCGATGCATATGCTGATGTGGTGTTTGGATTTTTACTCGCAAGAGTTCTCAAGGTTTTTGAGGAGGCCTTAGCAAGAGCAGATGTTCTTTCTGAAATTCCCACTCAAGATGGGCCGGCTTTCTTCAATTTGGAGGTGTCCCAGGCACCAACTTCTCAGCGCTTTCTTGGCCCGGTTTAGATGGATGACATGGCCCTCTGCCTATGGGGAGCAAGCAACGAGGGGCTGCGCCGCAAGATAGGAGTGGCATCAAGTCTGCTCCTTGACCTCTTTCGAGGACATGCCATGACGCCCAACTTGCGCCCTGGGAAAACGGAGCTCATGATCAGTCCGAAAGGACATGGGACAAGGGAGTGGCGCAAAGAGATGTATGGGCCACTTTCCAACGAGCATTTCACGGCAGTTGGCGAATATGGACCCTATCACATCCATCTTGTGACCAAGTATGTGCATTTGGGAGGAGTCTTGCATCATTCTGGAGAAGTTCGACTGGAACTGAGCAGAAGAGTCGCTTTGGCGCATCAGGCTTTCAGCAAGCATCGCAAGCTGATTTACCAAAACAGTGCGCTATCTCTGGGCAAGCGCATGGAGATCTTCAGAAGCTTGATACTGAGTCGCCTCCTTTACGGGTCTGACTCTTGGGTCTTACATGATCTCCTCACCAAGCACCGTGCACATGTCGCCATCATGAAGCTCTACAGACGGCTGCTGGGATGCGCCCATGAGGACGCCATATCAGATGATGAGGTACTCTTCCGTTTGGGCATGCCATCGCCCACGGTTCTTCTACGTCTGGCTCGACTTCGATACATTGGATCTCTTTGCAGCATTGGCACTACAGCCTGCTGGGGCCTGCTCAATGAGGATTGCAAATGGAAACAGTTGGTGGAAGACGATTTTGCATGGCTATGGCGCAACCTGTCCAACACCTGCAAATTGGGTGACCCGGCTCTACACATGAGCCGGTGGTTTGAAATTTTGGTTTGGCACCGCAGTTATTGGAGAAGTTTGCTTCGACGAACCGAAAAACATGCCATCCAGCAACATGCCTTGAAGTTTCAATGCACCCAATTTCACATGAAGATTCGTGACCTTCTTGTGGGAAATGGATTTTGGTCCCCGCCTACTGTATGTGCTCCAGAAGATGATTGCGATCGTTGCTTTGGATGCATGCATTGTCAGATTCGCTTGAAGACCAAGGGCGGAGAGGGAGCTCATATGTGTCGAGCACACAACAAAGTCAACCCGATCCGTTACTACATCTCAGGGACGCAATGCATGGCGTGTCTCAGGGAGTATCACACGGTGGGTCAGCTTCAAGCTCATCTTCTTCGCAGCGAAGAGTGCCGAGCCTACCTCCTACAACATCGCCTACGAGGCCACGCACTTCCTGGCATTGGTTCCAAAGAAGATGTGGCGAGGCATCAAAGCATGGACGGCAAGCTACCGCCCTTACAGGCGAGTGGCCCGCTGAAGCCTCAACGTGGTGGACCAGACCTCTCGCGGGTCGATTGGGATCTACACGATGAACTGGCGCTGGCTATTCTTGATGCCCAACAGCAGACTGAAGCGGTGAACCTGATGAGTCGCTTGCAACAGTTAATTCTTCAGCATGAGATTGCCTGGACCTATTGCAAGGTCACTCTTGGTGAACTTTTACAGACAGTCCAGGATGAACCACATGGATGGGACCTTCTTCCTAAAGAACATGTGATTGCGACCATTCGTGCTTTGTCTATGCAGGAGACGTGGCCTTTTTTGACAAGACCTTGCACTCCTTCAAGTTTGTCTACGCCATCTTTGGAAGACCTCGAGAAGGAGTGTGCGACTGGCTTGATCAATTGCCCTGAGGTTGAGGGTCAAAGGATTCCCCGTCCATGTGGGAGACACCAGATTGTTTTGCATGCCTTCAGTGGGAGGCGACGACGAGGGGACCTTCAATTTTACATGGAGGAGATCTTTGATCGATTCTCTGAGGGAGTGCACCTCACTGTCGTCTCACTCGACATCGTGGTTGACCGCATCCATGGAGACGTTACTTCGGAGCAGACACAGCAGTTTTGGTTCTCCCATGCTTCGAGCGGTGAGGTTGCAGCATTCCTTTGTGGTCCACCATGTGAGACATGGAGCAAGGCGCGTTTTGCCAACCCAGCTCACCAAGCACATGGACCCAGACCTGTCCGATCTGCTCAGGAGTTGTGGGGCCTTTCGTCACTCAGCCTACGTGAACTTGCACAGGTGACCGTTGGCAACCATCTTTTATGCTTTTCGCTGGAGATGTTGTTTCGTTTGGCGATTGTGGGCGCCTTGGGAGTGATGGAACACCCGGAAATGCCGGATGATGAGCACATGCCATCTATTTGGCGTCTGGACGTGATGAATTGGCTCCATCAGATGCCGGGCGTGCAGTCCTTCAGCTTCAGTCAGGGTCTTCTAGGAGCACCTTCGCCGAAACCGACGCGCCTTCTAGTCCTCAACATGGACGGCCTTATGAGCGAGCTGCGAAGACACCATCTTTGTGCTGACCTGCCGCGCAGATCGGCCATCGGCAAAGATGCCGAGGGCTTTTGGAAGACAGGGGTGCTCAAAGAGTACCCGCCGGCAATGAGTCGAGCTCTTGCCATCCAATTTTGCCGTTCACTGTCAGCTTGCCCTTTCGATGCAACGGTGCAACTCAGTGACCAATTTGTACAGCAATGCCAGGCCATGGACGTCAAAGCATATGGCCAAACCATCGGGCAGGACTTTGCACACTAGCATCTGCCGGTGGGAATTCGTATGCGTGCCGCACCGAAAGGGATCCGTGAGCATGTGCAAAAAAATGTATATATATGGTCAAATACTTATTTTTAAAATATTAAAACACATCACCAAGATCCATCATCTATGATCACTGTTACTATGACTACTATCAATATGGTACTAATAATAATGATATGACAGTTGCGAAAGTCACTACTAATCGTAATATGTATCAACAATAATAACACATAATTTTCACACATTCATATTGCATGACATCACTCTTGATTAACATCTATATTACATGAACTTACTATTGATTATATAATCGTACTAATTAAGTCTAATATTAATCATCATAGTGTTGGTTAATTACTATTGGTTTTAATCTTAATTACTATTGGTTACTCATTAATCAATACTAAGATTAATCAAACAAAAATATCATTACAACTTCAATAGTTTCCCGCCTCCAGGACCTGCATCTCCAGTTGCCGCGAGGCGGAGGCCAACACCAAGCGTCGCGAGGCGCTCTGCGGCGCTACAACGGGGGAGAAGCGTCGACAAAAACGAGTTACTAGGTTTTTGTTTCTGTGGAACAAGATGAAAAAAAGGCAAACAAATGCACACATATTGGTGTTGTCAATGAATTTCATGATTTTGTTGATGGTTTTTAATGCAAATCCCCTATCTTTTTGGGTTGATTAATGGGATAGAAGAAGATGCGAATGTGTCAATCGGAGACGAAGTCTCTCAGGGATCCGCTTTGAATCATTGGAATGAAAGAATCTTTGCAAATAGAAAGGAAACCATACGAAACCATCAAGAAGGAAGGTGGAAGAAGATCCGATGCTACAAATAACGGTTGCATCAAGCTATTGGAATTGAATGGAATTGAGATGAATTTAGGTACAGTATCCAACCCAGCACCATGAAACATCAAACGATAGGAAAGGTAAACGATCCACAGTGACAGGTTCAGTGAATGGATTTGGACGAAGCAATACACAAAAACCTCCGTCATGTTGGAATGCACCAAGGCAACAATAAGTTTCATGGGCATTGGGATTGAGCCTGAAATGAAACAGAGAAGTACAGTGGGCGCTGGAGGTCCACTTAATTTAGCGATGTTTCATCTAAAGCTAGTAGTAAGAGGAGCAGCATTCGATCTGGTGATGCAACACTGCAAATTTCTAGTCCCTCTCTCTTTGGTGCAATGCCAGTTGACTGCTTGGCTACACTTGGGAAAACTGCCAGCAAGGACATATATGCGGGTGTCTGACGCTCCCCACCTTTCTTAAATCAATTTGTCATTGGCAAAAAGCTGGAAGCTTAAAACCCCTCAGTTCAATGGGACTCTTCCTTCTTCGTCTGCCTTCTCTTGCAGGGCAACGTCTTGCAGAACGCTGACAACCCTAGAAACTGAAAAGTCAAGTCCCACGCCCTCACACACTTGCCATGTGAGAAATTCAGCTCTTTGGATCATCTTTAACACTCCACTATCCAGATCCATCCCGTAGTTGAAGCTATAGCATCTCATATCGTGACCTCCCTGCCTCATCTTGGTTATTTGGCGCTACGCGGGCAGCGCTAGGGTTCTCCTGCAATGATCCAGGTATGGGTCAAGCATGGTCAAGCCATGTTTTCAGAGCCCCCAGTCTCAGCAGAATTCTATGGAACATGCCATCAAGCCATATCAAGCCACCAAAAACCATGTGCTGAATATGTTTCAACAGATTTCAACACTTCGTGTGTCTTAACATGAGACGAAAAAAACAGGCTCCGGACGGATGACTTAATAGTCTCTTGCTCCCTGTGTCAAACGTCAGGCCCGTCAGGCTGCAAAAAATGTCTGCGCTCACAGGATGTCAGGCTGCAGAAGTTCACCATGCAAGGGATGTCTCGAAAATCTCGAAATGCCCACAAGATCAAACTGCTTCGCCATTCGTAAATTGGACAGCTGCAGTCCCTAAATGGACAGCGAAAGCACCAGTTTGCTCTTGGATGTTGCCACGGCACAGAGCTTGGACAGCTTCGAATGAATTCACCGTTGGATCAACGCCTAAATGTGTGTCTGTTGGCTACTGTACTGAAGATATTAACCAGCTTTGGGGTAGCGCTCCTCAGTGGATTGGGACCTCCTTGAGGTGGAAAACGAATTGCCAGTGATTCCCATTGCTCTCCCAATTTTGATATGAGAGAAGCCTTTCTGATTCAATGCCAAGAGGTAAACTATGGAGATAACTGAGATAACTATGGTAAAATTATGTAAACTTCCGATTAAGATGTACCTGTATATTCAGGGTTAGTGATTGAAGCTGGCCCGCTGTATCTCCTGCCAAGCCTTTGGAACTGCCAGCGCTGCGCGGGCGTTCTCCTGGCAGTCGTCGCTTCAGGACATCATTTTGGGGCTCTGAAAATGGACCCCAAAATTCCACAGGAATTGCCCAATTCAGATCATCATTTTGTTTTATTCCACGGGTTCATCAAACGAATTCAAACGATCATCATTTTGTTTTGAGATGTTTTGAGGCAATTCATGGTATCGGTATTTTCAGACAGACTGATTTTGCAGGGGATGGACCTGTTTGCAAGGGTCAAGTCTTTCTCATTGCCTGGCTTTGCGACCACTTTTCATGAAAGTCATAAAAGTATTCGAAAGGAACTACAAAATTGAGCGTATCAAATCACCTCAGATCTTTTGTATTGCCAGTTGTAGAAGGTCTAAAGCCCCAGGAATAGTGGTCAGGACCTACAGGCAAACATATTTGGCTCCATCACGATCAGGCCTTTGAGCCTCTAACGATGTTCAAAATGGATCAGACTAGTAGCAATTATGAATAGCTATCTTACATATCCTTACATTGGTTTCATGGTTTCATGGTGGTCATTAAATAATGAGAATCAACAAACATGATGAATATGTTATTACGATAATATCCTATGTATATATATATATATATTAAATGTCATTAATATGATCAAAACAAATCATAATTACTATACATATTACTACTATAATTAATCATCACGATCATCACCTGCAAATCTCGGACGCGCAGCTGCCTTGGAGTCCTTGGCAGGCGCGCCCGGTGCCTCAGTGACGACATGTCCAGGAAGATTTACGCATAGCCAGTCTGTATGTATCTATACAGTATCTGATTGTATATTATATATTATATGTGACTATTAATATACATATATGTATTATATATAGCATTATTGTATCTCTCTCTATATCTGTATATACTATAATTAACACATACATATAATCCCATCCGCCTAATGTTGGTCCCAACCAGCGTGATTTCATCCCCACCATGGTGACTCTGGGGCCATGACCATGCTCGGCACCTCGGTGAACATGGAAAAGTTTCGCGGCTTTTGGATCTTCATGCGCTGTGGCAACCAGGTCGGAAGTGTATGTAATAAAACATGTATATATTTATATACATATTTGTATAGTTTTGTCTATCTCTCTATATATTTATATATGTATATAATCATATATATATAATATTATATATATATATGTATATATTATATGGAAAATCTGCAAACGTCATTCCGCCTCAAATTTGGATGATTTTGGAGTTTGGCCCAAAAGGATCCAGGTTGGATAAGCTCTTCTACTGTTGAACAAGACTGGAGGAACACGACGATGGACTTTGGTGTCCTCTTGCGTTCACCCTCAAGAGGCGGAAAATGGCTCATTATTGTTGTGAAGAAACCAATGAGCTTGGGCTTCCCACATGTTGTCACACGCCAAAGTTCAAATCCACTGTACATGAAAAAAAAACCGGCCTGGAGGCCAAGTAGTCACGGTGGACAATTTCCCTGGCGAGTTTTTTGGAATATAACTTCTTGCCCCCACTACTTTTCTCGAGGCGCCTCGCAATGAAGCACATGGAGCATCAGGGAGTTCAAACTCCGAAGCTGTGCCACTCGTTGCTGTTGGCCCTGCGGTGCAGCACAGCCAGCATGGTGATAGTAGATGATGCACAAGTCCTCCATCCTAATGGGCTGGAATTTGGGATTACGTGTTCAACAAAGGGGGAGCCGTGTTTACCGGTCTGACAGGCTTGTAGCCCCAACCAAACAGAGTGTAGGCCTTCCAACTTTGTCCACTTGGTATGACTAATTGGACACAGCTTGCAAACGAAAATATGTTCACTGCGTAGCTTCAGCTTCAGTATGTTTCAGCTTGCACGGAAATTAGGAGTATCTGCGTGCTACTTCACCCAGGGGACACAAAATGCCCATCGTAGCGACCATGAATTCTCACCTCCAGTTCTCTGGCAATGCGTTCTGCAAAGCCCGCAGGCAGGGAATCAGCGTACCTGCACCAAAACAAGGATCTATTGCAACACAGAAGGAGTTCGATTAGCAGCACTGATGCATCAATGGGGGATACCACTATATAAAACATGTCATAATTTAATATGTATATATATACACACACTGTACAATATAATATATAATTATATATAATATAGACTACAGTATAATCAGTATACTATATATTATATATACTGCATTGTAGTGTACTATATCCAAGACTGATTTCCCAAATGAAACATGTTCGGAACCACACAACAGACGCCCCAGTCGTGAGATGTTTCCATCTCTACCCAGCGGCGTCGGACCCAGCGGCGCACTCCAATAATTCGTATTCCAAGGGCGACCAATCGGAGGGAAGCCTTGGTGAGTCGTTGATATCTGCCTCAGCGCCACTTCGCTGATCGATTCACTGATCGATGTTTGAAGATGCTGAGTGGATGAAGAGTGGATGGTGAGGTTTCAGAAGTTATGCAAGCATTGCCATAAACACTACACTTAGACTTCCCGAAACCTCAAACATCATCCAACCTCCAGTTCGAAAAACCTGTGGTCAACTGGGATGCCATGCCCAAATGACTGGGATATGTGCCTTTGTATGTCATTCGAAAGAAAAAAACCGGCCCACCCCACATCTCCGCCTCAGCATTTACTTGACCTGTCAGCTGAAAGCCCAATGCGGGAGGGAAGCATGAGAAAAACATTCATGTCTCTCCAACTTTCAATATTCTGGTT